AGCAAAGCCTCAGAAGCACGGGAACACACCCGGTGCCCTTGGTCTGCTGGAGACGGTCTCCAGCAGACCAGGGGCACCGGAGCAGCTTACGAAGGGGGCTCTCTCACCCCGGAGCTCGCAGGTAGCAATCCGCCACCTCGACCTCCGGGGCGAGAAAGCCCCGTTCGTAAGTGCGGATCCAACATAAGTCGGATCCGCGTAAGTCGGGGACTGCCTGTACTGGACCCACTGTATTCTCTTTGGGTGCAAGAAGGAAATTTTCACCTGGAAAGCACTGTGGGATATTACATTTGTTTCCACAAGGGATCAGTGAGAAAAATTCTCTTTTTGGAAATTCAGTACTAAAACTAACGATAATGCAACAACTAAAAGTGAACATTGCTTAGGAAATTCAGAAGTTAAGGGTTCTGTGGAAGCCTTCTAGTGGCAATGTCAAAAACATTAACATTACCTACAACGGGGCGGGGAACCTCAGGCCCGGGGACCAGATATGGCCCCAGCTTGCCTGGATCTGGCCCCTAATATTCAGACACACCCCTCCCCCCAGCACTGGGGAGCTCATGCTGCTGCTCCAGTCCCCTCTCTGCTTCGTCATGGAGCTGGAGCACACAGAATCTACCAGCCTGGGCTCCACTAGGCTCTGGTGTGTGAGAGGAATGCAGAGAATCTCTTTCCTTCTCAGTCAGGGGTCATGATTTTTTGTTTTAGGGGTTTTTTTTTTGCTTCTCACCTGTGTGCAGCCCCCAACTGATTTTTCTGTGGTTCAGCAGCCCCAAACCCAGAAAAGGATGCCTGACTTAGAACATAAGAACAGCTATACCGTCCAAAGGTCCATCTAGCCAGTGACTTATCTGCTGACAGTAGCCAATGCCAGGTGCTCCAGAGGGAATGAACAGAACAGGTAATCACCAACTGATCCATCTCTTGTTGCCCATTCCCAGCTTCTAACAAAAGAGTTGGGTCTAGAAAAATTAGCTTTACAAAACTTACTGTTAAATGGGAATCCTGGGTTTTTTAGAACAAAAATGGTTTGTTCATATTCAAGCATTCTTAAGTCTTGCAATGTTTACAAGTGTATCATTGTAGTATTAGGCTAGTGCACAAAACCCAGAAAACTAATGTTTCTACTCTATTATTGTTCCAGCTGAGCAAACATATGCTCAGTTTTAGTCATTATGAATATTAGTAGGAACGTGACTGGTGTACATTATTTTAGCCTGACTTGTCCTGCTACATTTAACAAATTGCATATTATAGTACCAAAAAAAAATATGCATGCACACAAGTGATCAAATGCCCCACAAGGAGCAGACCTGGCACAACATGGGGATAATCAGAAAGTTCTTTCCTGTCTCTAATTTCCTTTACAGTGATGGTGGGGGCTTTACTTTCCATTTCTGGCTTCAGTGCATTTAAATTCTCCATATTAACACTGTATGATTAAGGAGAAGCCAAGACCCCAACTCTCAATGCCCCAATTTACCACTACAGGAGGCCATAAGAATAATAGAACACTAGGACTGGAAGGGACCTCGAGAGGTCATTGAGTCCAGTCCCTTGCCCTCATGGCAGGACCAAATACTGTCTAGACCATCCCTGATAGACATTTCTCTAACCTACTCTTAAATATCTCCAGAGATGGGGATTCCACAACCTCCCTGGGCAATTTATCCCAGTGTCTGACCACCCTGACAGTTAGGAACTTTTTCCTAATGTCCAACCTAAACCTCCGTTGCTGCAGTTTAAGCCCATTGCTTCTTGTTCTATCCTCAGAGGCCACGATGAACAAGTTTTCTCCCTCCTCCTTATGACACCCTTTTAGATACCTGAAAACTGCTATCATGTCCCCTCTCAGTCTTCTCTTTTCTAAACTAAACAAACCCAATTCTTTCAGCCTTCCTTCATAGGTCATGTTCTCTAGACCTTTAATCATTTTTGTTGCTCTTTTCTGGACCCTCTCTAATTTCTCTGATTCTTTCTTGAAATGCGGTGCCCAGAACTGGACACAATACTCCAACTGAGGCCTAACTAGCACAGAGTAAAGCACGTGTTAATGCATCCCAGAATCATGTTTTCTTTTTTTGCAACAGTATCACACTGCTGACTCATATTCAGCTTGCGATCCACTATAACCCCTAGATCCCTTTCTGCCGTACTCCTTTCTAGACAGTCACTTCCTATTCTGTATGTATGAAACTGATTGTTCCTTCCTAAGTGGAGCACTTTGCATTTGTCTTTATTAAACTTCATCCTGTTTACCTCAGACCATTTCTCCAATTTGTCCAGCACATTTTGAATGATGACCCTATCCTCCAGATTAGTCACAACCCGTCCCAGCTTGATATCATCTGCAAACTTAATAAGCGTACTTTCTATGCCAGTATCTTAATCGTTGAAGATATTGAAGAGAGCCAGTCCCAAAACAGACCCTTGCAGAACCCCACTTGTTATACCTTTCCATCAGGATTGTGAACCATTAATAACTACTTTCTGAGTATGGTTATCCAGCCAGTTATGCACCCACCTTATAGTAGCCCCATCTAAGATGTATGTGCCTAGTTTATTGATAAGAATATCAATTGAGACCGTATCAAACACCTTACTAAAGTCTAGGTATACCACATCCACCACTTCTCCTTTATCCACAGCCATACTGGTCAGACTAAAGGGCCATCTTGCCCAGTATCCTGTCTGCTGACAGTGGCCACTGCCAGGTACCCGAGGGGGTGGACCAAAGACAATGATCAAGCGATATGTCTCCTGCCATCCATCTCCAGACTTTGACAGAGACCAGAGACACCATTCCTTACCCCCTGGCTAAAAGCCTTTTATGGACCTAACCTCCATGAATTTATCTAGTTCTTTTTAAAACTCTGTTATAGTCCTAGCCTTCACAGCCTCCTCTGGCAAGGAGTTCCACAGGTTGCCTGTGCACTGTGTAAAGAAGAACTTTCTTTTATTAGTTTTAAACCTGCTGCCCATTCTGACAGTGGCCAATGCCAGGTGCCACAGAGGAAGTGAACAGAACAAGGAATCATCAAGTGATCCCTCCCTCATGGCCCACTCCCAGCTTCTGGCAGAGGTCCATCCCCTCTGTTAATTCAAAGGCTATCTGGGCAGAAGTCAGGGACATCCACAGCAAATTCTGTTCTCTGGAGCACTTTAGCGTTAACCCGAGGAGGGAGGAAAGCCTCTCCCTTTCATTACACTTGCAGCCGTATAGCCAACCCTGTTTTGTTCTCTCCGCTGCTGGAGGAGGAAAATCATGGGCTTTAACTATCAGAGGCTATTCAAGTGACATTTCTGCGAGGGGCCCAAAAACCCAGCCCTCTCAACACTGCCACCCTAATCGCGCTGGACTGACTCCCGCATGCCCAGCCCCGGCCCAGCGCGCCCTACCTCTTACCCCGTGCCTGCAGGCCTGCTCGTTGAGGGCTCGCACCCAAGCTCGCTGCCAGTTCTCTCGGAAGGATCTGAAGGCAAAGAGGGAAGCAAGAAGGCCCCTGGCCCCCGCTACCTCCTGCTCCGGGGCCCCGTCCGGGGCCAGCCGCAGCCTCAGTAAGGACTTCCAGACTCCTGCTTCCCTTAGAGCCCCCCTCGGGCTCTCCGACTTCCCTCGGCCGCTCCACACGCCCCGGGAATACTGCAGCAGCCAGGCCGAGACGGTGAGCAGGGAGGCAGCGAAGAGCAGAACCAGAGCCGCCCAGCCCAGCTCCTGCTCCATGGCGCTCTGCTCAGCAGCTTCGGGGAGGATTTCACGGGAGTCCGGGGGGCATGATCGGGGGAGGGGAGCCGCCCAGAGCCTCAGCCCGAGCTTCGGCGGCGACTCCCGGGAGAGACACTGATTCCCGGGGGAGGGAAGGGCACTCCCGAGGGTCGCGGCTCCCGGTCTTCCCCCAGCTGCTCCGCTCGCTACATTGTATCTGGGCTGCGTGCGCAGAGCTGGGGCGCCCCGCCTCCTGCTGGCTCCTGCAGGGCGCCGCGCCGCGCCGCCGCCTCTAAAGGCAGAGAGGGAGCCTCGCCTGCGCGCTCCCACCCTGAGCCCACAGCGCCCCGAGGCGGCGATCGCACGGGGGAGGCCGCGGGATAAGAGAAAGAACGCTCCGTGCAACACTTGTAGAAAGTCCGAGCCTTCCAAGACATGTTCTGCAGCCCATGTAACATGCTATTGCGATGTGAATGGAGAATTGTGATTTGGAGGCGTTTTGCTGCCAGAAAATATTTGAGGGTAGATAGGCAGGACCAGTAAAAATACAGCACCACTGAAGTGCAACCACCTCTACTGGGCATCAGTCATCTAAGGTGCAAGCAGTTGAGGAGAAGCAGGCATGCTATATTTTCTGAACCAAAATTAGGAACACGCTAGCCATGCCCCAAGCCACAAGAAATCCTACTGTAGAGGTTGTACTCCCAGGGTCAAGATGGACACTTGACCAGAAGTAAAGGGTGTTGTGTGACTCCTCTAAGAACGCCTCCCACCATCCTCGTACCAATAGGGATGGGTTTGGCCCCCACAGGATCCCCCATTCAACTATCCTGCAATTGCATTAACCAGTGCTTTTTTTGTAAGAAAAAAGGTGATGGTACTCTGGGGAAGACTTGTTAAGCAAAAAATGGAAAACTTGTTGAGCCAAATAAAAAAAACCAACATGCCGGTGTCCGAAATTCGGTCACTGCCCCTTGAAGAGCCACAGCGCCTTGCTGGGAGCCAGAACAAAAAATGCCGCACGTCCCGAACAGGCTTCTATCAGGAGCCAAGCCACCTCAGGTAAACAGGTGCCGGTACACACAGGGGAAATCCCATTTCCTTTCTGTGGGCTGGGAAAATAGGTGACAGTACCGTCACAAAAAAAGCACTGGCATTAATCCAAGTGGTGTTGGATTAGCTCGGGGAGAGGCTGGGAAGTGCCCCAGCTAGAACATGCCTCGTGTGGCTGCTACTTGACTCCAGCTGGCGCTAGGACCACCCATGGGGACCTGGACCGCAGTACTAAAAACAGCACCATGGGTGGCCTCTGCTCCAGTCCTGGCACCTGCTGAGCCTGAGTACACCCCGCCGTGCAGCACCCCAGATGGGCTGCATGTGGCTCCTGCTAGGGCTCCCAGGTGACCCAGAGAAGGAGGATGTGGTGCCGATGGACCAGGAACCCGTGTGGCAGAGGCAGTCCCATTGGAGGGAAGGAGGTGAGGGAAAAAAGGAGGGGCCTGACTGCCCTCCGCGCCATGCCGGGGGAGGGGAAGGAGGCTGCTGTGCCACGCCAGTGTCCCCATCAAGTAGTGAAATGTCCAGAGGGGCTTTCCAGAACATTTCACTACTTGATGGGGCACTGGGACAGAGAATTTAAATTTGAGACAGTCCCAGAAAAATTGGGACATCTGGTCAGTGTAAAAATAGGATGACTCATGTAATTTGAGCTAGACACATACATAAGGGTGGGCAGGATCAGGCTCACAGGGAAGATCTCATGGTTAGAACAGAAGGTTGAGAGTTACAACTTCTGGGTTTTCACATCAGCCCTATAATAGTTCACTATATGAACTTGAACAAATACAGGTTGAACCTCGCTAGTCTGGCACCCTTGGGACCTGATCCCGGATCAGAGAATTTGCCAGACCATGGGAAGTCAGTATTGTCAACACTTCCACTGCTTACTGGGCTTTTAGAACACATTTGGGGTAAATTAGAGCTAAATAACAGCACAGAATGCTGAGAGCCAGGACTGGTGGCTGTAAACAATCTTTATATAGAACTGCAGGAAACTTGGCCACACTCATGATAAATCAGCTAACTAAAATCATGCCAGACCATGGATGTGCTAGACTAAAGAGGTTCAACCTGTAATTTCATTTCTTTACCCTGAAGTTTTCCCATCTGTGAAATAAACGATTGACTTCTTTATGAGGGGAAGAGTGAGGCTGAATGAATTGTTTGTAAAACCTTTAAGTCCTTCAAATGAAAAATTATATAAGTATTATATACAGTATCTTCAGTGGTCTCCCAGAACAGACAGATCCTCAGGTCCAGATCCAGGTTTCCTCCTTTTGTTTCCTATGTTGATGGGATAGTTTGAGAAAGACTCAACCTACAAAGAGTGATTCAGATGTCAAACATCCGCTGTATGAATGATGACTGATACGTAGACTGAACAGATACAAAATCTGTATCCGCATCTGCAAAAATGAACAGTGAAAATCTGCAATTGATATCCATAGCTGCAGATACCTATGATTATAAAGTGCATATTCATGGATTTGCAGGACTCTAATGATGCAAAGATTTCATTGATCTTCTCGTTAATAGCTTGGTCTTCCTTTAGTGCTCATCATTCATCCTACTAATTGTTTGGCAATGTTTCTGCTTCTGATGCACGTAACTTTGTATGCTAGTTGCTCTTCAAATTCTTTTTAGGTCTGCCTCATTTGACTTACCAGAGTTTGTTTTCTATTTTCCTCAGTAGGATTTGATTTCCAGTTTTGAAAAGATATCATTTTGCTTCCAACTACTCTATTCTTTTTAGACATGTTGGTGTTTTTGGACCACTTACTATTCTTTAGATTTGGGGTGCACATTGGCTACGTCTAGGTTGCATCCCTTTTTTGTAAAAGGGATGCAAATTAGACGTGTCGCAATTGCTAATGAAGCGGGGATTTAAATCTCCCCTGCTTCATTAGCATAAAAATGGCTGCCGCTTTTTTTCGGCATGGAGCTTTGCCGGAAAAAAGCACCAGTCTAGACGTGGATCTTTCGGAAAATAAAGCCTTAATTGCTGAGCTATTATCTGTGGTTTGTAACCTATCCTTTAAATCGGCTTCCGTACCTAATGACTGGAAGGTAGCCAACATGACACCAATATTTTAAAAGGGCTCTAGAGGCAATCCTGGCAATTACAGACCGGTAAGTCTAACTTCAGTACCGGGCAAATTAGTCGAAACAATAGTGAAGAATAAAATTGTGAAGCATGTAGAAGAACATCATTTGTTGGACAAAAGTCATCATGGTTTCTGTAAAGGGAAATCCTGTCTTACTAATTTATTAGAGTTCTTTGAAGGGGTTAACAAACATGCGGACAAGGGGGATCCAGTAGATATAGTATACTTGGATTTTCAGAAAACCTTTGACAAGGTCCCTCACCAAAGGCTCTTGTGTAAATTACATGGCCATAGGATAAGAGGGAAAGTCCTTTCTTGGATTGAGAACTGGTTAAAAGACAGGAAACAAAGGGTAGGAATAAATGGTAAATTTTCAGATTGGAGAGGGGTAACTAGTGGTGTCCCCCAAGGGTCAGTCCTGGGACCAATCCTTTTCAACTTATTCATAAATGATCTGGAGAAAGGGGTAAGCAGTGAGGTAGTAAAGTTTGCAGATGATACAAAACTGTTTAGGATAGTCAAGACAGAAGCAGACTGTGAGGGACTCCAAGAAGATCTTACCAAACTGAGTGATTGGGCAACAAAATGGCAAATGAAATTTAATATGGATAAGTGTAAAGTAATGCACATCGGGAAAAATAACCCCAACTATACGTACAGTATGATGGGGGCTAATTTGGCTATGACAAATCAGGAAAGAGATCTTGGAGTTATCGTGGACAGTTCTCTGAAAACTTCCACACAGTGTGCAGCGGCGGTCAAAAAGGCAAATAGGATGCTAGGAATTTTTAGGAAAGGGATAGAAAAAAAGAACCAGAATATCTTACTGCCCCTATATAAAACTATGGTACGCCCACATCTGGAATACTGTGTACAGATGTAGTCTCCTCACCTC